CCTCCCCCCTGGCCGGACAGGCCAGGGGGGAGAAGGAAAAGAAAAAAAAAAGAAAAAAATTCGAAAATAATAATAAAAAAATATTAAAATATTGCCACGTGGACGCCGGCCGGCGCCACGTCGGCCGGCAGGCGGCTACGTCAGCGCCGACCGGCCAAAAGGACTGAATTGGCCAAATTGAAAGGTTTAGGACTGAATTGGCATAAATGCAATAGGTTGAGGACTGAATTGGTAATTTTCCCAATAAATTGGAGTCTCTGGAAAATACTTTGGAGATCAGATTGTGTTCCGACGATTAAACACTCCCGATATGCAAAGTGATTACAAATGCATTGTTAGGGTCAGTACTACGTGGAAATGTTAGACTAGAGACAGCAAACTATGCCCTTTTCATCAGGAAGAAGAAACCATCGAACGTGATCTTCTTTGTGTGACTGGTGTAGAGGTTTGTGGTTAAAAAATATGAGGATTATAATCCATAAGGAAGCCATCTCCATCCCGGGTATATAAATTACTAGAATGTTAAGAGTAGTTTCGAGTAGAAAGACTTGAAGTAGAATTGCTAGCTAAACTTGCGTATACTTCTTGGTATATCTGGAAAGGGAGATATGACGCCACTTTTGGGTATCCTAAACCTAATCTTAACGCTTGGGAAAGCAGGTTGAGGAAGAGTTGGTGGGGATACAGGAACTTGAAGAGTAGAAAGCTGCAAAATGTGGGTGATAAGCAAAAGACAATGGGGCAAGGGTGGCATAAACAAAGAATCAGGGTCTATACAGACAAATTGTGATGGTGGTTTAACTGCAAAAGGAGAGAGTGACCATGGCATCGCCATTCGAGATTGTGAGGATCATGTCCTGGATAGTTCAAGACTCTCTGTGCAAGCTGACGGTGCCAAAGCAGCCGAAGCGTTAGCCATGAGAGGAGGGATCGGGTTGGCGAACAATGGAAGGTGGTGTTGCTTGAAACTTACCCTGAGTTGATCTTTAAAGGTCTTACAAAGGACATGGCCAACTGCAGCTGGAAGATTTCAACGCTTATTGCTGATACCAAGCATCTTGTTGAACAAGACTTGTTCCGATTTCGAAAGCTAAAATTTTAATATTATAGTGCGGCATGAATGCGCCTTGGTGATGGGGTGGCGATGCCCCCATCTTCTTTAGCTATACGGTATTTGTAGTAGTGACCACTAAAAGGAAAATGGCCAACATGTTGACTAAAGGGTGGAAAGGTATTGGATTTTGCAGCGCTCCCAACAGATCTTCATCGAAATGACAATGGCCAAAGTGTTGACCAAGGGACTTGATTTTTAAGAAATGTTTTTAAGCCGAAACCATCGCCTACATGGGGCAACACATTTTTCATATGGTTTCTACTGACACTTATTTGTCCAAACTTTGATGGCTAGATTGGGAGATCCTAAAGTGATGCGAGTTTGCTCGAAGCAACAGGCATTTAGAAACTACACATCGCAAAAAATTAAAAACCAAAGGAAAGAAAGAGGCCCATGATAAGTTGATCACTCAAAGTTTGTGCAAGCCCACTACCGTGCGCACTAGTGAGCTTTTGAATTGTTGGGTTCTACGCTTTGTGAATTGTTTGAGGAAAATAATAATTGAGGTGAATAGCGAGCACATTGGCCTAGTTATTTTTTTTATAACATCGGCTATTCAACTTCGCGACTTGACTAATCCCACCCATAACATTTAAAAGGTTGAATTATTGTTGTTCATCTTGTTTTTTTAATTTAGCATAACTTTATCACAACTTTGCAAGGTTGCCCTTCAGCTGTTCTATGACTAGAAGTAACTGATGAAAGCCATCGACATAAGAAAAGAAAAATTCATAAAGTGAGGACGGAATGGAAGGAGTAATGATCTTAATCGACACTATCTCCATGAAATTGACAATGGAAATTGATTTTATTGGTAATAATGCATGTGTACAATGAATCCAATCATCTCCAGTCGCTTTCCATGTAAACAATTGGTGAATTTGGAGCTATATGTCTGCGTTGACATTCATATATGCGTATATATCTTGACCAATAAGAGATGAGATCTTGGCATCCTATGTAGATTCAGATGGAACTCCCAAGTTAATTTACTAATGAATAAAAAAACTAAACGCCTGCCAACGTGACCTACTCGTATAAGTTTTAACATAACTTAGTCAAGCCCACCATAGCCACACAAGAAAAATATTGAAGAAAAAGAAGGAGAAGAAAGAATACCTTTATCTGGCATATTCTTCAATCAACTTAAAGACAAAAGACATAAGGTTGACATTCTTGGGTTATTGTGACCCAAAACGTAATATCGCATTATTGAAGACCAAGAATAATTGTGTATTTCAAGGGGAAAAGTACCAAAAAAAGCCATAAACCTATTATATCTGGCCAATTTAGGCTAGAAATTTCTAACATGGACGCTGACTGTCCTACATAGAGCGATCAACGCTGATGTTGATAAATTTTTAATAAAATTTTGAATTTTTATTAATTTTATTAATTTTTTTCCTTTTTTTTTTTTGCGTTTGTTCCTTTGGCCTAGGGCCGATCGCCGGCCATGGCCAAGCACCAGCCAAAGGCCAAAGAAAAGAAGAAGAAAATGAAAAAAAAAAAAGAAACAAAGAAAAAAAAAGGAAAGGAAAAATAAAGAAAAAATGAAAATTTTTAAAAAAATTCAAAATTTTATTACAAAATTATTAAAGAAAAAACGTTCACGTGAATGCCGGCCGTGCCACGTAGGATGGCTGGCGTCCACGTCAGCAGTTTTCAGATCTAAATTGATCGAATGGACTGAATTTGTACGTACAAATGTGAAAAGGTTGAAAATTAAATTGGTCCAATTGAAATGTTTATGATTGAATTAGTATCAATACAATGGGTTTATTTCTTGTTTTTTTTTTTTTGGGTACTTTTCACGTATTACAGGAGTCCAATCATTGTCAAGAAAGAAAAAAGAAGAATGTAGGGAACATCCGCCTCCTCGATTTCATAGAGGTGTGGAGAGAGCATTAGAAGAATCAGTTTGCATGAAATTTTCAACATTAGCAGCAGGGACGGAGCCTGGAGTTTGTATCTAGTGGGGTCAATAAATTATAGGGATGATCGGTTCCGATCCGGTCCAGTTCCAGTCCGGTTTAATGGAACCAGTCACTTTTTAATTTTTTTTCCCATCACAACAAGATAGAGAGAAAAATCTCAACATATTGACGGAAGAGACGGTGAATGAAGAGTCATTGTGGTGCGACGACAAGGGAAAAGCATTATACGTGGGTTTAGTTCACATTTTATTAATTTTTTTGAAGAAATAAGCAAAAGTATATATAGTCGGTCCGATATGGTTCGGTTCCACTTTTAGGAACCGGAAACCGGACTGACACTCCCGGGAACCGGACCAAACCGGCTGGTCCGGTCGTGTCCGCACGGTCCGTTTTGCACACCCCTAATAAATTAAACCAAACTCTCTATATTTATGTTGTGTTTTTGCAGTACTCATAACCTATATAAATTACAGAGTCTACAGGCAATTAGATGACCGGATTTGCAGTAAGCAGAAAAGTGCAAGGACAAAATTACAAAAGCCGCTCAAGTTAGAGGACCAAATTTAGACCCTTCCTTATCTTATAGTATAGAAATGAAAACATTAATCATGCGTGATGCTGTCAACATATCTTATACATTTGATGAAAAACGACTTTTGCAAAATCTCCTTCCATACGGGAAGGGCAGAAACATCAGATTGGTAGTCCTGCTTACAATATGATAATAAATTACAATCTCTCAACATAATATATTTGTGAAGTCATTTAGCAAAAGAAACATAAATTATATATCATAAGTCAAGAGGTGGTTGGGCGTGAAAGGTACCGAATTCATTATATATTTTGCGTAGTCATGAATCGAATCCTTGACAGAGCACCGTAACAACCATTCTTCCGAGGGGTTTCCATAGATTAACAGTGTTGTCAAGCTTGACGATAAGCCAGGATCATAAAGTAGGAACTGCTGATAGCAATCGGCCAACAATTACTGCTCTTCTCAGAAAATTTAACCTACTTATCATTTTTGTCCTACTAAATACGTGCGCGCACAGCTATTTTCCGTCCTACGTGATTGATGCATTCGTTTTTCCTAACGTCCGACATTTTTGACATTTTGGATTGCATGATGACATTTTGAATTTCGCTCACATCACTCCATGGATCATCATCGACAATGACTTCGAACTGGCCAGATTAGTCAAGAAGATTCATAAGCCAATACTGGTTTAATGGCGAGTCAAATCTTGATTCACGTTTCGCGAAAGAGAAGGCCTAACTAAGGTTGGGGTTTGTATCGTGAACGTAGTTAGTGAAAGCATTTGTTTAACGCAAACACGCCTGACGCAGAACAACACCCTCTTGATCAGAGTGCATGAACACGGTTGTTCCATATCAAAAAGAAGAAGAAATTGAATATGCTCACCATCAATCCTCACTACAAGTTCTTTACGAAAAAAAAAAAAAATCCTCACTACAAGTAAAATTAGTTAATTGATTCTTGTTCGATCAGATTTGCTCTAGGAGTAAATTAGTCGATAATAGGAAGTTTCCGCGAAGGGAGAGTCGCAATCAAGAAACTCTTGAGCTCAATTTCTTTTTTTTTTTTTTTTTTTTGATAACCGAGGTGTCCGCGTGGCCGGCGAGCTAGGGCTCAAACCAGCGGTGATGCCCGACTAGTCCTCGAGGGGGGTTAGCGCAGCATCCCACCGCCACGACCCCCCACTTAAATCACCGATGGGTGAGTTTGAACACAGGACCTCTCGTGAATTGAGCTCAATTTCTTCTCCTTCGAAACTTCAAGATTTGAAAATAACGTCCGATCTGAGAAGGGGTTTAGACGAACCAACGCAACTATGATTGGACCGACCATATGCTTTATAATTGATAAAATATAGGTACATGATGAAAGGTGACTGGTAACCGGTGGCGGGAAGAGACTATATAATAACAATGTCAACAGATGAATCGACCCAAAAAGCAAAAAGAAGCTGCACTTGCCTCTCTTCATCAATAGTATTGGAGTCATAGCAGCAATCAGTTTCTCCAAGAGGGAAAATTTCATGGAGGCCAACGAATTTTTTGGAAACGAGTGGGTTTAGCGTTTAGGTAAATATGCAATCTGTGCTGTTGTTACTTCTCTGTTAGATTTTCTATCAGCTCTCCGGCTTCTTAGAAACTGGAAAATGGAAAACGACTTCGAGTCCGCTGAATAAATGATTTCGCTTTCCTTTCTGTTGTTTCTTTTCTCTTGTTTCGCACTGCTAACGTCCATTTGTTTCTGCAATGTCCTTGACTGTTTTCAATGCCTTCTTCCATATTTAGAGCTGATCATAGTGTACCTGTTTTAGGCCGAGCAGTGACAGGCATCGAGTCGACGTTTGTCAGCCGCTTTTCATGTTGCTTTGCTCGCACTAGAAATATAAAGCAACAACCATCCTGCTTGTCTCAGCCTTCGTTTGAGTAGGAGGCTGCTTCTCTTCACTAGATTGCCACTTCTGTCACTGCTAATTAAGGAGGATCCATCAATTTGAAGAAGAATTTGTTGCTTCCTAATCTCAGCTCCAACAAAGTGAGCACTCGGACTTTTAGTTGAGTTGACTGAATCTCTTAAAACCATGGACGGGATCAACTCTTTCCACCAAACTCAATACAACAAGCTCACCGCTGCTTTGCCCGGCTTCTAATAGTCAAGTACAAGATCAACAAAGGCACAAAAACTTAATTTCTGAATTGGCTGTTTGAGAGATGAATTGTTTGCTGTTCGGATCGAAGGGGCCACCGGTGAAACGAAGAGATGGTTTAAGGATACAACAGGCGGGACGAATTTCATATAGAGGTAGTTAGGGAGGTAATTTCGTTGATTCCGTTTGTCTCAGTAATAATTTTTTTTTGTCCATCAAGAACACTGTGGTTTCTGTGAAAATCGCTACTGCATGGGGAAGATAGCCTTAAGAGAATTTCTCAAGAGCCTATGCGATAATTCGTGCTGGAAATATGCAATCTTTTGGAAGCTTCAACATGAATATGAGATGTAAGTTTGCTTCAACCTCTATTCCGTTTGCTGATACATTTTTTGCCCTTGCGATCAAGGCATTTGGTGAAACCGAACTAGTTCTTGCTTTAAGTAATGAATATACAATAGCAAATTTAGTTCTTGGACAAGTCAATCAAATAATTTTTAGTAACCCTTTTTAGTCTCATGGATAAAGGTCATGCATATGTGTTCGATGCAGTGTCCGTTCATCTGCTGTATCAGTTAAGCAGATTTCTATAATTCTGTTTGCCGTGAATGGAAATGGGATCCGATCACACTAATTCCTCTCGTCAAACATAGGACATTGGAGTATAAGAAGAGCACATGTACAACTTTCCTCTTTTGTTCTTTTATATATCTACGGCTTGAAACTATCACACAAATACATCATTTTCCAGTGGACATATAGCAGATACTCAAGAGGATTGTGTTTGGGGAATGAATACCGATATTGTGAGTTGTGACTCGGTGTTCATAGTATGCTATTTCCATCATCAGAAAGGATATGCAGAAGTGGGCTATTAGTTTCATGAGAAATGAAAAATTGCTTTGAATTCTCTCAGGTTCCTATCATGGGAAGATTGGTACTATGATTATCCAAAAGTGAGAACATTGACGGGAAATTTGCCCGCTGAACTGTCTGCCAATGATGCGAATCAATTCCTATCCTTTGATGATGGTAGCGTTATAGACGGGACTGCAAGTCAGATCGCTGTGTTGGAAACATCATGTCTTCAGTACAAACTGGGAGAAGGGTATGCTCCTGTTCTTGATGTTGCGCGCTCATTTCATCAAACACCAATCCTCAGGTGTTGAGCTTCTATGACAGAGCTAGTTCAATGCACCAGTCTCTAAAATAAGTTCAGAAGGATTCCCAAAGATAAATCACTTGTTTTTATTCTTAAATTGGTAGTTTGACTCAGATTTCATGTTTGCTAGGATTATTGGTGAAGTGGTCCGCACACAGAGTCATTGCTGGATATCATTGGATGATGTGTTGGCCAGTAACTGCAAATCAGAGACACCTTTCAATGTGAGTATCTTTCTCAGACAACTAGTATTAAAACCTAGTAGAACGGCTGACTATGGTCACAAGTTCAGTAATGAGAATTGACAATGTTTACTTCCTACCATGCAGATACCAGATGAATGGTTGCCCCAGATTTCAGCTGGTGTCAAGGTACAGGTTCTTGACATGATCTGTTCATAGTAACCAGCGATTCCAACCATGTGATGACAAATTGAGTTCAATGGCGTAATTGCACTATTACTGCATCTCTCTGTCAATCTTATGCCAGTTATCTTTCAATCACGCGTCAATAATGATATATTCAATGCTTATGCAGACTATTCTAGTATTACCTCTTTTTCCACATGGAGTTTTGCAGCTTGGTTCACATGAAAAGGTGCGCTCATATGTGGTTTTGCATATCCAACCGAGTATGTTTTTTTGTTTTTTTTATGCATCCAGCAATTCAACCTGCAGGTTCCGGAAATTAGGGAGGCGGTGAGTCACATCAAAGCGATGTTTAGTTCTATTGGATACGAACAGGCACAATATGCACCTTTGACTCCAAACAAGAATCCAACTCACTCATTGTCTTCGTTAATGCCGTTTCTCTTGGATACCATGGATGGTTCCTCGCTTATAGATAGTATATATTTAAGTGGTATGCAGTTTGAAGGCCCAGAGAATGGTGCCGAAGCAAATCGAGACAGAGCGACTGCTTGTCAAGTCATAGGTCAGCTAGAAAATCTCCTACAAGCTGATGATAGTGAGACTCTTGTTCTAACAAAGGGACTTCCTGAAATATCCAACTTACCGAGTCAACCTGTTAATGCAAACCACACGGACATAGTGGATGATAACGATTTGTGGTTTTCTAGTATGGCTGAGGACTTACTAGTCTTTAAATCTCACAACCTAGGAATGTCCGCAGAGTTTTCTCATGAATTATTGAATTCTTGCACCGCCAATGATGCTTCCGAATGGCCACTCAAAAGCAAGGATATTGATCATGCAGATCATAAGACTACAAGAGATATGTTTAACTTTCCCACAGATTGTGAGCTGCACAAAGCACTCGGACCATCTTTCCAGGGACAGGCACATGAGACATCCATCTTATTTGAAAATGCATTCAGCGACTTCAGGTTGAGTCATGAAGTGGATTACTTTTATGATGTTGAGAGATCAACCGAGTACCTCTCCACAGATGATGCCGAGTTTCTGTTGGAATCTGTCATCCCAAATAGATATGGAAGCTCACATCCTCCTTCACCTAGCGAGTCAAACGATACCAAATTAACAGTCTTATCAAGGCAATCCAATACTTCCTCTAAGGTACTCAATATTCTCGAAGGAAGAACCTCGGGCGAAGATGTCTCTGCTGTTATTACTCATTGTAAAGACAGGATTAGCGTTCCATCTTCTCCAGTTTCCATGAAGAGCACGACGAGATCATTAATGAAGAGGGAGCGCTGGGAGGAAGAGAATGCTCCAGCACTGGCCAGGAAGGGAGAGAAGCCGTTATCTGGCTACAAAAAGAGGAGCAGAACAGGTGACAACAAAAAGCCTAGACCAAGAGATAGACAGTTGATCCAGGAGCGACTCCGAGAACTTCGCATACTTGTCCCCAGCAGCATGAAGGTAAGTGCTCTGTCATGTACAGTCTTTACTCCTCGTCTTCCAACAATTCCCATGAACAACTGCCCTATGTAATTTCTCTCTTTGCATTTGATGACGATTTCCAGTGTAGCATAGATAGCCTCCTAGAACGGACGATAAAGCACATGCTCTTCCTGAGAAGGGTGACTCATCAGGCCGAGAAGCTGACAAAATTGGAAACCTTTGAGGTACAACCATATACTACTAACTTTCATCAAATAAGACCAAAATAACCCAATGTAAGTGTGGTCTGACGGTAACTTGACGCATAAGCTGGTTTTTGGTCAAAACTCGAAGCTTAGATATTCATCTTTAAATTTCGAAACTTGGCTGCGTATGAAACTGGAACACTATTCAATCAGAATCAAATTCCTGGGTGCCATTTCCATGAAGCATCCCGTGGGGTTGTGATTAAGACCTTGCAGCATATACTGCCATCATTGTATGACTAAAACAGACATATGCTGCTGTTATTTTGCAACTTTGCAAGATCTAACACGTTGACATGCGACGCAAGTCAAACATGTGAGGGAAGACAACTAGCTTGCAAGAATTCTAAAGAGTGCTACTGTTTCAGTATTATTTGTCAAGACATCATTATTCTAGTCAAGCCAGACTATAAAAACGAAGAAGTGGACTAACCTAGTTGTTTGGGTTTATCTGTACATCCCTAAGTTTGTGGGTCACATCTCCATCAACCCTTTCCAGGGTGCAGTACTTTCCTATGAGCCAAATGAGAAGATCAAACACAGGTTTATACTATATAGTCATCGTCAGGAATATCTCATTTCATATTTACTTAGCCTTAGGTGAAACTGCTTGTTCACTGTATCATAACATCTGCATAGGCCGCTGTCTGATAGTCTTTTGAATCTTTGTTAACCCAAACAGCAAAAGGTCGGTCTACAAGATAACAAGAATGAGTGGGAATATTTACATTTTAGTGGCGGTTTCCGTGGAAGAACTAACTTGGCTGTCGAAAGTGGAGGCGAGTTCCAAGCCTGCCCTGCACCTATAGCTGTTGAAGATCTTAATCAACCGGGGCACATGCTCATTAAGGTTTGACCTATCGCTCCAACTTTATGCTCCAACTTTTCTTCACATGCAACCTTCTGATTATTAACATTTCACGTGGCTTCTCATGTGAACAGTTTGTTTCGTTTTATTTGTGTGCCTTCAATGGAGATAAAAGTCCTGTTAGTGTCTAAGCTCACTGTCCAAAATGATCGACAATCAAATTTCTTGTCTCACACTATTCATAAGCATTAGAAGGTTTTCCCCTCCTAGATTGTTTCTGATGTATTTGTTAAGATTTTGTCTGAACACCACGGAATCGAGCCTATTGCTCTCACAAGTAAAGGATCTGTCAGCAGGAACATAAAATCTCTCCATGCTAACAATCTAATGTTTGGTGTCACTTTGAGAACAGTTTAAATGGTCTCAATTACTCAAGTACATATATTAGTATCTCCTTTGTGTTTCTAAAATCATTGACTTGACTGTTTCTGGTTTCTGAATCTGCAGGTGATATGCAATGAACAAGGGCTATTCTTGGAGATTGCCCAGGTGATCACACGTCTAGAGTTGACGATTCTTAAAGGACTAGTTGAGAATTACTCCAATGATAGCTGGGCCTGTTTTATTGTTGAGGTATCTGACTGTTCAGTATTAGCAAAAGTGACTGTTAGATCGAGATCATGAAATGCCATCCATACAACAAGCCCACTAAACCCTCATGTTTTATCTTTGCCAATAGGCTTCCAAGGACTTTCAAAAGATGGATATCTTCTGGCCACTCATGCAACTTCTGCACTGCACAAGACCTAAAGTATCAAGCAAGAAATGATGCACTGCCGAAATGGGCGATAGCACGCAGGACTTTTCCTGCTCGTTGTCTGCAACCAGAGGGTCATAACATCCTCAATGTGAATGCATGTAACCTAGTTTGATGAAGTAATACAATGTCTATGAATCAAACTAGAAATGAATAAGAATTTGGACGTTATGTACAAGGAACTGCAACTTCTTCTGAATCCTGTCAAAGTAGCTTCTGAATAAAATGCTCTTTGTTATGTAGATCAACCTAAGGAAACACAATATACATCCCAGATGCTACATGGACAAATTCAAAAGAAACCCCTATCCTAACAAAACTGTCCTGCCTGGCCCTCACAAGTGACATGTCAGAGATCTACACGGAAACTTCAGCCAGCAACAATGTGTGCCACCACCCACACGCAACATTTCTTGGCAGACAGCCATCGATTGGTACTTGGGAAGGGATATTGCGATCAACTGAATCTCCAAGACCTAGCTGCATGATATATTAACAAAAGCGTGAATAGACAGATCTATACTGGTCAGTAGTCAATCTTTGGATCTTAGTAAGTGTTCACTTCATCCCACCTGTCCATACTTGTTCCATCCCCAGCTAAATACTTGTCCATCCTCTTGAAGATAACCATAAGACACAGAAGCAATAACACATGAATGAAAAACTCGTCCTCAAATAAAAATTAAAAAGAAAATCATTTGCAATAGAGGTGCAGATTATGTTGACAATCTACAAGTAAAAACTTTGTTAGAAAAGGAAGGATGCAAAGCTTTGCATACCAAGTGACAAAGAAATGAATTGAAACACGAACTATTCACTTCAAAATGAAGTGGCAGCTTGTTACTAACTTACGATAGAAGGTTAAAGCAACCATTAAAAACTCCTTTATTTCCTCTTCACTCTAGCACAAAAAGGGCCCTTCTTTTCTTTATTGATAAGTATCTTCCATGGTCGATTCAGTTTACTGACCCAACTTGATCAACTGTTGAGGGTGGCTTTGGACATACAGGCTTTCTAATTTTCTAAATGAATCGAAAGGTTCTTGAGACAGAGGAAAGTGATATGGAGGAAGAAGATGGGCTCAAAGAACAGAAATGGTATACATGCGCCATCCATGTGCTGCTTCTTTGGATGACAAGCCAAGTGATTAATCGACTGGCTAAACAACAGTTATATCAGCCCCCATACTTAACATGCTGTCATATAATTGTCTCAAGGGAAAAAAATACTGGGGTACAGCTCATGCCTGTTCGGAGAGTTAAAAGCAAGCATCTTTATATGAATTGGCATGCTACTCATGCAAGGCACATCCTTTGGCGACATAATTTGACAGGCTCAGCGTTCCTGATTGTAACTACAATAGCAGCACTTCTCTAGGGCATTACTTAAAGACGAGAAACCCCTCATTCACATACATTAATCCACGTAAGCAAAGAAAGGCTGTGAACGGCCAAAGGTGGAAAGGGCCCACAAGAGAATATTGAGTGATAATAACATCCCTAAAATAACACCATTTATATTAAAGTGTTGTTACCTCAAAGAAAAAATTTTCTTTTGAAAGATCAATCTCCCAATTACTTCCCAAACAATGAAATGAAGAGACAAGTGAGATCATTGACTACATGTTAACAAATTAGACGAAGCTAATTGCTCAAGTCAGGACAAATCGGGCGTGGACGGCAAAAACATATCAAATTAGGAAATCCAGGATACAGAAAGAATCAATCATATGAGACATCAAGAAATAAGGAATGCACACTGTATTATCTGTTTGTGCATACCTGTCAGTACTGCATTATGACGGGCTCCGGACGATACTGTCTTCACTTGCCTGCCCTTCCACTCCGGACATTCCAAAAGTCGGGGCAGAGTCTGAATTAGGTATCAGAGAAAGTACTCAAGTCAACAGCATGACAAGACAATAACGAGCCTACGGAAGACAGATCATAAGAGACTACAGCAGTAATCTACTGGTATCTCATAAGTGGACACAACATCCTCATCGAGGAGCATTAAAGAGATTATGCAGAAGAAATAAAGGTCATCTAGTGAAGCAAATTGATGCAAAAATGATGTAGATGGCACCAAACAATTCTTAACTCCGTCATAGATGCAATCTTGCACAATATAAGTTAGGCCTGGTATATGCATCCCAATTCAAACTTCTCACATATACAAGGCCAAATATCCTAAGTACCTCGAACTTTCTATTTTATATAAAAGATATCACAAAAGATACCCAAAAAAATTTTTTGTATTAAATGGAGCCTCTGCTTGTTTTGTCAAGAACATCGTCGAACAGCTGATGCGACAGCTGAAGTGCCAAATTTCATCATAAAGAAAATAATAAGATCATAATAATTGCTGTGGCAACTAATTGCTTAGAAGCTGCCATGTCAACAACCATGTCAACCATTTAGTGGTGTTCTTAACAGCCAACATAGCAAAAGCTATAATTGATTTTGGGCATCTACTGAATAATTTTCAAAGTTGGCGGTATTTTCACACAAAAAGCACAAAGCTCAGGAATTTTTAAAATATTTTGGCCAATATTAATGTATTTCCAGCCAGATGGATTTGGAAAAGTTGGGAAAGCAGTGGATAACAAGAAAGATAGACCTCTACACTTTCTCCACCGGTCCCTAGTTGTCCAAACTGGTTCCCGCCAAAGGAATATAGTTGACCTTCAGTAGAAACACAGATTGTATGCCAGAGACCAGCAGCAATTCCCCCAATAGCAGTTCCCAGTAAAGAAGATACACAGGTTGGTCTGAGTTGATCATTCGTACTCCCTTGTCCACACTGAATCACAAAAACAGAAAGAAGTTTCAATTGGAGAAAATACAAGAGGTCCTGCAGTCCTAAAGAGAGAGAGAGAGAGAGAGAGAGAATTCAATAACAGTGTGCCTATCTCCTCCCATAAGCTATTTAACTCACTTTGGTTTGTTAAACCTTGATAAATCTTCATCTCAAGAATATCTTCTGCCTATAGCATTAGGAACCATATAAGGAAGGGCCAGCCTGATTTCGTGTAACATTACAAGTAGCCATGGTAGCTCACCTGCCCATAGAGCCCCCATCCAAAAGTTAGCAATGCTCCAGTATCTACAAACAAACAAAAATGAAGACAGAAGAATCTCTTCAAATAATTTGCTAATCCGAATAAAGCAAGTAATTTGTAGCACAATTTATTTACTATACAACACACCCATGCTGAAGTTGGTAATTATATTTGGTAGACAACGAAAATGTCAATGAGGTACATCAATCCAAAGAATTGCGGATGCATGTAATCATTTAAGTCAATTATAGATGTTCCTCAATTCCTACCATCTTGTTACTGCTCCAAAAAAAAAATCATAAAAACAATCATTCAGAGGGGCTTAGATGACCAAATCACGTTAAACCCTATAAAGGTGTATCTATTAGATTACACTCTTCAATTCTAAACAACTGAATGAGATAGAAATCATTGTCAACAACTACAAGCGAGCAGACCTGTAATTACCGCACTATGTCGACCTCCACAAGCAATTCCTCTCACATAATTTCCAGGCATTTTTGGAGTTTGTAATCCTGAACTGATGCTTCCTTGGCTACTGGTCAGAGTGCCATCTTTACCCGGATTGGGTGTCTGAATGCAAGGTATTAGATGAGGAGAAGAGACCATTTTTATCTTGGAACCCAAACCTAGCTGTCCTTCACCTCCATAGCCCCAACCCCAGACCTGCCCCACATCTGAAACTTCGGTAAAAATATGATGAATCAGGTGTCTTGCTTTACATCAAAAATCTTCCATAGCTTCATACTTCAAATAACCTACAAAACTAGATGGGTTAACCACGAAGAAAGAACAACAGAGGAAAAAAAGCCGGCACATTTGAAGAAGGTTTACCTGACAAGGCTAAAGAGTGGCGCCCACCAGCGGCAACTGTGGTAATCCTCACTCCAGGTCCCAAGGTGACGAGACAAGGTGATGGTGCAAATGTTTCCTCTCCTGGTGTTAGACTCTCATTTTCTTGTTTAGCTGATGATACTTTTCTTCGCTTCACAGTTTCTTCAACAACCTTTCTGTCATTAAGTTGACTGACCGTCCCACTATTTGGGCTTGTCGCTTGAGATCTAGGGCTCACTATGGAAAAAAGTAAAATTCTAGTTAAAATAGAAGCCCATAATTCCAACGGATCTATGATCATCTACTATCCATAAAACCACCTTGCTCACTCAATGAAGAGCTTTGTCTTATGAAAGCTTCCTTTTGGAAGCTTCCTACAAAAGCCAAATCTGAGATGAGTTTGCTAGAAGGAACACATTCTTTCCAACCCCATGTGTATGTTTCACCTGGCTCTGCAATATGAAACATCAACACGTGAAGAGGGCATAATAGTCAGTCAATAGATAACTAAAAGAGCTCACACGTCATTTCATGCAGATGAAATCTTTGTCTATTGTGTGCACTGCAAACTGTTGCAAATAATGAAAGGGGCTAAATGACACTCAATATTTAAATCATTGTGCGTTGATGTCGCAATGACTAATGAAAATGTGAACACATTATTGCAAAACTGCAATTACTAGCGCAGACAGCATTTCCAGGTAAAGAGAATTCAATAACAGGCAATCCGCATCATTTACTCCCCTGTGGATAATGGAGAGAAGATTGGTATAAGCTCGTACAACATAACATAACCACAGAATTGCTCAATGTGCGTGCGAGAGAGGAGCAGCTGGAAGGGTGGTACCTGTTACTGTAATACAATGAGCCCAACCAGCAGCAGCCTTCAAAACCAACGCTTGAGTTGGGAGAGGAAAAGGCTCCGGAGTATCCTCAATAATTGCAATCAAGAAGTTCCAAATCAATACCAAATCAAGGCAGACATTAAAATCTTGTGAGCTAGAATAGATATGAATTACCCCATGCTTTCCTGATGTCATGTAGCTTTGACCTTCATCATCTGCTGAACCCCAAGTAATTAGCTTTCCAGAATCTGATCCCACATTTTTTTTCAAATAAAATAGATCAGAGGTATCGACACATATAAAAGTAAAAGAGAGAGAGAGAGAGGACATATAGGAAGGGGTTTACAGCAGCCAATTCCAATCCAAAATTCCGACTTGACTACGACCATGTTGGTTCAGTGAATCTTAAACTCATGATATCAAATGATTCTTGTTAATTTTCCTTCCATTCAGATAATGCCGCTTATCCAAATATGTCCACTTCTGTTTTTTTTTCGGGGAAAACGAATTCATCAACCCAATGACAGTTTCGGATATTTGCTGCTCCAGCCAATGGCTGCTCTCATAATTTCTTTTTCCGCTTTTACACAAGAGAGCGTAATTGCGAATTCCAACTCCGCCCTGGACTTGATGCTGGAAATATGAATTCTTCTAATGTAAAGCTGCGAGCCGTAGCTTTAAACAGGAGCTCTACTTATTCAATCAAATAGTGTTGCGCGGGTAAATCACGGATCAAGCAAAAAAGCAGAACGAAGAAATTTCAACACTCACTACGCACGGACGAGAATCGATATTTCAAAAGCACAACCTGATCAGCCACAGTTAACACGAGATGAACAGACCGACTTCGTCTCCTAGTAGCTACACAAACCAAAAGCATCGATCGAGCCTCGTTGGCGGAAGCGACAACCAACGAACGAACTCACTCTTCACCTGAAACGGCCATGGCGAACCCGCAGCCGCCGCCGAAGACGTCCTTCCACGAATCCCCGCCGGCGGGATCCCGCACCGGCGTCGGGGATAGCATCGGCGGCTTCTCCGGCGAGGCTCCGGGGAGGTAACCGCACATGTACACCGCATTCCGCCTGCTCCCCTCCGCCTCGACTCCGCGATCCCCTCCCTCTCGCCCCCCGCCATCCGTCGCCATCGAGGGACGCCGGCAACCCGAGGCGACGAAAGAACGATCGGGAACCGGCCGGCGAGCCTACACCGATCTCGGCGATCTCAAATCTGGAGTGGGACTCCGAGAGAGAGAGAGAGAGAGATGGAGATGGCAGAAACGGAAATTTCTCGCTGTGGGGGAAAGAGGTGGTGGTGGGGAGGGCAGGAGGGGGAGACGTATCATTTCCAGGGATGTGGAGGGCGCCACGTCGGACGCCACGTCGTCGGAAAATACACGTGGCGCGATCTGGGCCGCGAGCGGGGATCTCCCTCTTGTCCTTCCGTGTTTCGGGGGGGGTGGGTCCCACGGCATTTCGCTGGACGGATGTTTCTGGAAGGACGGAGGGGGGGGGGGGAATAGACCTTTTTCTTTTCTCGCCCGGTTTCCAAGCTGCCACGTGGCGTGACCTCAATGGGCCGTTATCTTTTGTTGAGCCCGAGTGCGGTGCGGTTAGTTTAGTTCCTCCTGTTCGTGGCACGCCCCTGAGCCGTCGATTCTCTTCGTCGAGTCGTGCGATTGACGAGATGGACGGACAGAAAGTTGACGCGGATTTGCGCCTTGCTTGACTGGGGCCGAATTCTTTATTGTGAACTTCTTTGTAAGTTCAGAGGCTTGCTTGTGATCTTGCTGGTCATTGGATTTGTTACGCATTGGCACCATAAAAAATGTCCACTAGTAAAGTTAAAGTGTAAAAAATTTTAAAAAAATTAAAAAATAAAAGGAAAAAACCGTGGAAGACCTCGAATTACACTTGCTATGACATATTTACCCAAACTTTTTTTACGTATCTCAACCCTGTATCTATGCCACGTATTTACTAGTCGTCGCGGTTTCATCCAAAGTCCGCCGTTGGAAATCTTATGTGGCAGCGTACGTGTACATGGCCAAAAGAAGACAAAACCAAGTTGACAGCGGCGGCAAATGTATGTTTTGCTTTTCCATTTTACTCTTTTATTTTTCTATTTCCCCTTCCTCCTTCCTGCTCTTTCTTGGTCTGCAACCGCGGCCGCCCTCGCCCTTCGCCAAGGCCGCCCTCGCCTTCGCCTATCGCCATTGTCGATTTCTCTCCGGCCGTGCTCGACTCCACCACTCTGCCTATTTCTCTCTCGCTCGTCATTACATGCTCCAAGACGGCGGCAGAGTGATGGAAATCGTCCACATCATCGTCCCTCCCTTGAACCGAGGCCTGAGCTTAGCTTCCCATCCCCGCATCTCCGTATTCCAACACGCGAAAACCAACTCCATCGGTCCCCATAGCTCTTATGTCTGGGTCCGTTCGAAACCCTTTGTCCAGTTTCTCTATTTTTTAAACTTATAGCGAGTATAGTTTTAAAATAAATAAAAAAACATTGGTATCTCAACGAATCTCACCCATTGATATATTAAACGATAATTTTCAAAAAATTAATAAATTTTACAGAAATCAACGGTTAAGGTTATTGAGGCACCTAACGAGAGCATAAATTGACTAGAGGATCTCTTTCCAATATGTATATAGGCAGAGCCAACTTGAGATCTAATGAGAATGCTTCATAATAGCCTCCCGAGACTTCGGCTATATCAAGAAAACAACTGAAAAATATAATCTTTGGGATGCATGATCTTATGGCAAGATAAAGGGTCAATGCGCTGTAATCACTTAAAAGCAGATGTCGAAGTCATTGTTGTGTATGTACGCATTAGATGGAACGATACCAACTTCTATTTTCGTCAGTCCATTGACTTGTGCCTAAGGTAGTAAGCCAATCAAGAAATCATGGATTACTCAAAGAAACCCAGGATCGATTTGCAAAATCATCGAACTTTATTGGAAAGATTCACGAGGCGAAGCCATGTTCGCCGGAGACCAACACGGTATCTGAACTTCTTCCGCCATAAACAACGTGTGAAAGTTCAGATAATTTTGGCAATCAATAAGACGGGAAGTCTCCGACTGACACCTAAAAGGAAGTTGAACAATTCATCGACTATAATCTTGAGGGTTTGTTCAACCGCATCACGGCCATCCATAGTTTTCAGCTACAAAATAGAGTTCATTGACTTGAGAGATAGTTAACTTAGGAAAGGAGAAGATTGTGTGACTTTGGCTTAGTAGGCCACTGTATAACCACCATCCACACTAATGACCTGCCCCGTGACATATGAAGCCGCAGGAAGGCAAAGAAACGCGACCACGGACGAGATCTCGTTAGGCTCTCCCAACCGACGGAGAGGCGTTCGTGCAAGCAGCTTGATGAACTCCTCTTTGATTTCCGCTTCCTGAATGATAAAGTTCAACGCGAGTTAAGTTGAAGCAAAACATAAACTTTTCTCCTAGACAATTTTGTGATGAAACTTTTACTAAATACCATCAGTCCCTATTCCTGTGATCCTTGCTTTTGTGTAATTGGGTGTCTGAAGACCTGTTATATTGTATATGGTGCTTCTCATTTCAGTGCCCTAGTTCAGTGTCAATCAGTTTGCCATGTTTTGTCTCACTAGGCCAATTTGTGGAGAGGATGAGTTATTTCTCAGCAGCTTAAGATAAACAGAAATATTTGCAGGGTCAGCCTAAGGCAGACGTGAAATCCAGATAGAGAGATCAGAAAGACTATTACAGGTTTCGCTATGGTGGTTTTCACGCCCCACGGAGCGACGGCGTTGATCCGAATATTGTCTTTGGCCCATTCACATGCCAAGTTCTTGGTAAGCTGATTGATAGCTCCTGGAAGAGCAACACGAGTTCATGAGCCGTGTACAGAGTGCCGGAAATGACCCTTTGAGGAAGAGCCTGGACAAAAACATCACTATACCTTTGGAAGCAGAGTAAATCGAGAGTGCAGGCAGAGCTACTACACCAGCAATTGAGGAAAGAAACACAATGTGGCCAACTCCTGAAGCTTTCAGGAGTGGATGCACGAGTTGGCACAGATGGTAAGGGGACTCGAGGTTGGCTTTCAATATGTAAGAGCAGTCCTCGGGTGTGTAATCTAGTGCCCCCTTAAGAACAGCTGTCGCCGCATTGTTCACCTGCATTAGCCGTACTAGCATCAAAACCGAGCTTGGTAACAAGACTCAGAAAATTGCATGAGGGCAGTAGTAGGGGAATATCGAATTAAAGGTTGTTGTGTCTGATCATAACAAGTGCAGTCCAACATCCATTGTCCATTGATTCAGCACAGCTAAAGCAATGTCAGTCTGGAGATTGGAGTTGCGACAGCTCTAAGAGTAGGACCTTTCGCTATCGTCTCTGATTAATCTACTACTACCTCCGGAACCCTTTTCTTTTCAGTGAATTCAGTCCTCAAAATAGTACAAATGGGACTGACCTTTCAAACCGAACCAGGTTCTTAAATCGATTGTAAAATTCAAAGCAGCAGAAATCAAACGAGAATTTGCAGAATGGTTCTTCTATGTTATAGCTAAAACCACAAACCAATTGAAGAAGCGACTTCTAGTTCTTGCTAATCTCAAACAAGAGATCAATAGAAACAAAAGTTGCTTCCGTAGCAACTGCCAGATGATGATTATTGGGTGTCACTAACCAGAATGTTGAGTTTGCCGTCAAAAACAGAGGAGACAATCTTGATCAGCTCTTCCCTTTGGGTACTGCAAGTGAGGTCACAAACCGAACCGCTCACTCGAAACCCTTTACCCCGCCACTCTTCCACTCGCTCGTTGAGCTCTTTCTCGTTGCGAGAACACGTGTGAACACTCGCGCCGAGCCCCGCAAGCTCCTCTACGATCGCGTACCTAATCCACAGACGGATTGATCAAGACTTGAATCGAAATTGCCACAAGAGCGAGAGAGTTAAGGAAAAGATATGCTGGAATTTATATGTAAATGGTCACGCAGATAGTGAACTGAGAGAGACTGACCCAATCCCTCTGGTTCCACCGGTGACCAAAGCGGTCTTGCCTTTCAGCGACCACCTTCGGTCGTCGAAGCTCGATTCAGCACGTTCCATGACTTCTTCCATGAAAAGAGCATTCAAATCTTGAGAGGGAGATGAGAGAGGAAACAAGAAGGCGAAGAAACTAATGCACACATAGCGGGTTGCAACGAATCGACAAGAACATGACCAAGAACAGACCTGTAGCCATTTCTGAGCAGAAGCTGTAAGAACAAAGGCGAGAAGGCAAGTGTCGTGAAGATGATTGGAATTTCGTGCGGATGTTTTGACGGTAAATCAGAGAAAGGTACTAGAGAGCTTCCAAAGATGTTGGCTGAAGGATCTATGCAAGTTGAAAGCAGAGACGCGGGACTTATACAGCCGGAGGCTACACTGATCGATGCTTTTTAGTTGCCGTTTCCCTCTGTGATCTTATATGAAGGGCCAGATGATTCTCGGGTCAAGAAATGGGAAGTGAAAGCAACTAATGTCCATTGGCAAAGCTAGGCAGAAACCAATTAATGAGTCCAGACACGAAATGACAAGATCGCTGGACAAGGCATCAGTTTAGGTTAGTGTAAAATAATGTTTCGTGGATTAGCAGGACATACATGCTGATGGACAACCGGCTTCGAGAGGCAAAGATGCAAATGCTCGGAACAAAGGAAGCGAATTCAACCCCGTCTAAAAATGAGACTAATGAGAGATTCCGAAGAACGATAACGACAAGCGACGTTTCCTCTGTTTTTGGTGAAACTACCCAGACGTGATTTTGGGCTTTGGGTTGGCGTTAACCGGATCGCAATCCGTCTCATATGAATCTGAACGGACGTATTATTGAGATATCCTAAGTCTTAAAAAAAAAGATTAAAATTTATGCCGTTTAATATGATAAATATCCTAAATCTTAAAAAAAAAAAAGATATATTCCGCGGTCATATTTTGATAGTTTACATTTGTGGGGTAAATAAATTGTTGAGATTGTCCCACATAAGTTGTTGAAGGGGTTGGTGGTCAATTTATAAGTATGAAGGAAAACGTTACCCTTTAACTTAGCTTTTGGGGTAAGAAAGGTCCAAGACCACCAAACATTGTATGCTTCATGTTAGTATGGTCTCGACTCGAATACGAACACTTTATTTTCACCCATATATATTAGATGTCATAACTTTAGTATGACGCTCATTTCAATATTAAAACTTTTCAAACGATCACTTAAATGCCACATCAATTAAAAGACGATCAAGTAAGTGGGGACAAATTCCGCGATTTGTCATACATGGCTTTTTTAATAAATTCTAATCCTATTTGGTCTTTTTAGCAAAATTGAAATCCAACGTGCATAAACGACGGGACAATGTGGCAAATGGTCTCATTAACTCATCAATTTTCCTTCTCTTCTCGTTCATCTCTTTCATCTTCATCTTCTAGTTAACAATTTTCATTTTCATGCACGGTTTTTTCCTTTTCTTTGTCAATTATTTTCTTAATCACCCTCTTTCTCTCTCTCTCTCTCTGAAGCTTTTTGATTCTGCAACGAGGATGATGATGATCCGGCGAATCTAGTGGATGATCTTTGTGGTGGCTGTGATTTTGCCAGTGTGTGGTCCTTATTTCACAAGGGTCGGATACATAGTCCACGGCGATGATTTGACTCCGAAGAAGCCTGATTGCAACAATTTGTTCTAATTACTATGTTTCTCCCTGTCCTTCGCAACTCTTGTTCGTCCGTGACTGAAACTTGCTTAATTTGGTGATGTTCATCCTGCTCCTGCTTTCCATTCCAAATTTCAGCACCTAATTTTGCCCCAAATTCCTCGGTTCAAGAACACAATGAAATCAGGGTTTGGAAAAAAAAAAGATTTTAGCCCCTATTCGTTAATTTGGGGGCAAATAACACACATAAACGATATCGTTTAGCACTAGCATCGGTGACTTCACTTTGCTGGCGAGCCATGTTGCCGGCGATGCCCTATTCGTTAATTTTGCCACATTGGATTTTCAGATCACACAAATCGGCGATAGCACTAAAGTGATCATATTTTTACAAACGTTACATTCAGGTGATTGCTTGAAAAGTTTGGGCATTAGGATGAGCACTGTTCGAAAGTTATGACGCTTCTGGCATTTTCATCCCTTTGGAAAAATTAAGAAAGTGAATGTATCTAAATGCAAAGCTATTGCACCAAACCTATCGCTATGTCAATGCAAGCATTTCATTGTGTTTTAGCTTTTGATTACAAGGGAAAGTTATACCAGCAGTCACCATTTGGGGTCAGCTGACCCCACCGAGTCAGCCAGAGGCTCCCTCCTCCATCTCTAGAAAGATGGAGATCCTTCCTCTTCTTGATCCTACCTCGTGCTCACGTCCCCTTCAGCGGAGGCGAAAGGGGAAGAAGCAAGTAACAAGAAAATTTATGGCGAAGCTGGATTCGATGGTGTTGGTGGAGATGGGGGAAAGCAAAGCGTAAGCCCTGACCTCACCCCAGTTGAGTTCCCAGAAGCCTCCATTTCGTTTTCTCTCTCCTCTTTCTTTGACTTTGTGCGGGAAAGTTCTCAATATACAAAACCAACAACGTCTATGTCACCCACTGCCACGTGAATACAGGCCAAAAATCCCAACGTGTGGCCACTGGGAACTTAGCAAGCTCACCCACAGGATTTCTTCTCTCTGTCTCTCTCTATAAAACTCCTCTTTCTCCGTCGTCACCGACAACACTCCAAAAACAGTGCGCTCAGGTCTAACGTTCTTTCGTCTCCTGCTTACCAATCTCTGTTGTCAACTTGCCCTTTTGATCGTGGCCGTTGGGTTCGGCACGGATCTATGGCTGCCTCGGTGCCAGCTGCCGCAGCTGTTTACACCGCATCGGTACTCTGTTTTTCCCGCCCATTCCTGTTTGTGTGTGTTGTTTCGGGCTCTGACCTCATGAAAAGTGCCGAGCCCGCTTCGTCCTTTCGTCTCTTTTTCATCGTCTTTGCTTGATCATCGTGGTCATTCAACTGTTTAAGCACATGAGCTAAAAAAATACTCTGTTTTCCTGAAAAGAGTTTGCTTTCTCTGTTCGTCTCTAGGGAAGTTATGAGATCACGCGTAGCTGGTTAAGCTTCCATAGCTAGTGAGTTCATACTGTGTTCACGGAATCTGCAATGTCTGCGTTAGAGTCTCCTGCTTTAGCGGGACTTCGTGTTAACAATGGCCTGACCTTGATTCAGCTCAATTGGAGCAGGGCCGGCACGAGAAATTCGGGTCCTAGCTCTCTATTCTTGGGGAGGAGCTCGAAGAAACAGAGCTCTAAGATCAACCACCCGAAAGTGTTGTTTAAGAGACTGAAGGCGGTCGCGGAGTACAATGAGGAGAAACAGACATCTAAGGACAGATGGAGAGGGCTTGTGACCGACAACTCCGACGACCAGCAAGACATAACCAGAGGAAAGGGGATGGTCGACACTCTCTTTCAAGCGCCGATGGGGACCGGTACTCACTATGCTGTCATGAGCTCGTACGACTACATCAGCGCCGGCCTTCGACAGTGAGTAACACACATGGCCACGTCTTTTAAATAAGTTTTGGAAGTGAAGGAAAATCAGTTGATTCGAGTACTGAACTCGTTGTGGTAGGTTTGCATTTGATAACACCATGGATGGCTTCTACATTGCTCCTGCATTTATGGACAAAGTTGTGGTTCACATAACCAAGAACTTCTTGAATCTTCCAAACATCAAGGTTAGTTTAACATATCGAAATTACGCGACTTAATTTTGAAATTTGAATTTGAAGAGGAAAGAAATTGTATCGATGATTAACTCCATGGATGGCAGGTTCCTCTCATTTTGGGTGTTTGGGGTGGCAAAGGCCAGGGAAAATCATTCCAATGCGAGCTCGTGTTCGCCAAAATGGGAATCAAGTAGGTTTCATCAATTTCTATTCCTTAAGATATTGAAAATCTTCAAATAAAGAGATACCTGAGCATTGATGACTATATGGAAATGGATTTTCAGCCCCATAATGATGAGCGCGGGAGAACTAGAAAGCGGGAACGCTGGTGAGCCTGCAAAGCTGATCAGACAGAGATATCGGGAGGCGGCCGACATCATCAGGAAAGGGAAGATGTGCTGCCTCTTTATCAACGATCTCGACGCGGGAGCGGGAAGGCTCGGTGGGACCACACAGTACACGGTGAACAACCAGATGGTGAACGCCACCCTCATGAACATTGCCGACAATCCCACCAACGTGCAACTTCCCGGCATGTACAACAAGGAGGAGAACCCCCGAGTTCCCATCATAGTCACCGGGAACGACTTCTCCACACTGTACGCCCCTCTCATTCGCGATGGCCGGATGGAGAAGTTTTACTGGGCACCCACACGGGAAGACAGGATCGGCATTTGTACTGGGATTTTCAGGACCGACAATGTCCCAAAGGAAGATATAGTCAAGCTTGTCGACACATTCCCTGGTCAATCAATCGGTAAGCTTCTTCTTAATCTTAACATGACATTCCTTAATCCTACTCTTTTTATCATTGTGCAACATAGCAAGCGAACTAACATTCCTAGCTGATTAATATATTTGTTATGGCAATCTTTGTTATTGTTGGAAGAGAGTTCATACTTTTGACAGTAGATGAATGGAGAATGTAAATTAGGAAGATGGAACTAACATCAGTGTCTGCTGTGCAGATTTCTTTGGAGCACTCAGGGCAAGAGTGTATGACGATGAAGTGAGGAAATGGGTTGCCGAGATCGGAGTTGAAAACGTCGGAAAAAGGCTCGTGAACTCCAAAGAGGGACCCCCGACCTTCGAGCAGCCGAGGATGACTCTGGACAAGCTACTCGAGTACGGGAACATGCTTGTCCAGGAGCAAGAGAATGTGAAGAGAGTGCAGTTGGCCGATAAGTACTTGAAAGAGGCCGCTCTTGGGGATGCGAACGAGGATGCCATTAAGAATGGGAGTTTCTATGGTTAGATCCTTTCTATCCTAAAAGGACAGGGTCGAAGATTTGGCTCTGGATTTAGGATGACAGTACAAATGAAGATTTGGGAAGAACCATAACTTAAGCATTTCAATTGTTGTTGATTTCGATGCAGGCAAAGCGGCACAACAGGTTCATCTTCTGGTTCCTGAAGGATGCACCGACCCATCTGCCACAAATTATGATCCAACTGCTCGAAGCGATGATGGAAGCTGCGTGTACCCCTTTTAGATCCCTTACAAGCCATTAAGGATAGTTAAATAGGGTTTTAAACCCCTTAAGTATACTGTATACGAGTTAAGAGTGTTTACACCAAATCTGTAGTAGCATTTTCTTAATTTTCCCTTTCTTTTGGCTAATCACATGGAAGTATGTCAAGATTGGGGCTGCTTGCTCAATTTCTTGCAACCTCTCACAATCACAAGATGTCCTTCGTCATGACATATTGTTCGCTCAAAGTTGCCAATAAAATAGCCAACAACGTGCAATAGCTTGAAATGACCACCTTAAAATCTCTCCGCAGTCGTTGAAATAGAGATCAGACAAATTTCAGCCAAGAAAGGAATGATTACTCGGCTTATGGGGTTCGACTGCAGCTGGAAAATGGTTGGATCTTCATAGCACAATACCGCCGAACAAGAGAACAAGATGGTTTGTCACATGAACATGTAAATAATAGCAA